CCTCGAGTTTGGAGGCTCCTTGGGTTATGTCGGGGTTATATTTGGGATATATTGGGATAATGGAAAAGAAAATGGCAGCTACTGGGTTTGGGGCTTTGGGGGTTTATGGTTTAAGGGTTTTCAGAGCCATATGAGCTATACTCTGAACTCTTTAAAAGGGGTTATAAAGAGCAGTATTATAGGGATTATCCAGGGGGATATTCGGAGTTTAGACTGTAGCTCAAATACTGGTTGGTTTCCAAATACAGGGGAAACAAGCCTGCTGATTCTTCAGTCTTAGACATTCAGGAATGGATTAATCTAGAGAGTCCTTGGGTGATACAGGAGAGGGGTTACTATGACTACTAGTGATCCATGACCTCATCCAGTGGGAAACACCCTGCAGAAAATCACAAGCTGCTCCAGGATAGCTGAGTACGGGCGGCATGAAGATGACCCAGAAACGCGGAACATCCAGAAGAATTGACAACCCATCATTTCCGAACATCTGGGATCCTTTAAACAGGCCTTGCCTTGCTGTTTTGAAACACCACACTTTGGTTGTACCTACCATTCCGTTCATATTTCATTATACTTGCTATCAGTTCCCTCCCCCTCAGGTGAAGCTTGACCTCACTGCTCAGACTTTTCGGTTAACAGCTTACCCTGAAAATTCCAAGCACCCGAAAAACGACTGCGTGCCATGTTTGGGGTAGCAGCTGTAGCCACGGCAGTTACGTGCTGGATCCATATCTCAAATAAAGGAAGACCAAATATCTCTGGGGGATGAGAAGAAGTATCCAGAAAGGCAAGTCGCTTTGGCACTGCAGTCAGCCAGCTTTGTCTAGCAGATAAATGCGTTCAGAACACCTACGACAAATGTGTACCGTAGGCAACAAAAACGCATGCATCAAGGGAGTAAGTTTCATCACGTCTGCCTCTTGTTCCAAAGGGCGGGACATGGAGTACAGAAAGACAACTTCTCATTGGCCTGGCTAGCGGCTAGCAGAGGAATTCTGAACTCGGAAGGCAATTAAAGGCTTCTCAAATCTATCATGCCCTTCCGGGGCCCCTCTTTTAGAAGAATCCTGTTTTGGGTCGAGCTTACAATGGTGGATCACCGCTTTGAGAAAAGTCCAACTATCACACTCGACATTTGGCAGGGGTTGCGGGTTACAGACTGGAACAGAAAATGGAAGCGACTTGGTTATCTTTCCCATTCACGTCTAACCACCCTAAACCCTAAACCATATATAATCCCACTGTAGTAGTTTCCATGTTCTTTTCCATTATCCCTATATAACCCCAATATAACCCTTGCATAGCCCATTATAGTAGTTTCCATTTTATTTTCCACTAACCCCAATACATACACTGATGTAAAACCCCTATATATACTATAGTAGTTTCCATTTTCTTTTTCCATTATCCCTATATAACCACTATGGTGGCTTCAATCAAACCTTGAAGTTGCTGCAACGAACGTCCGACCAGCCCTGAAGCGGTCAGCCCGGATCCCCACTTGAGGGTTTCCCAAAAAATACGACATTTTGGGGTCCCTATAATAAGGATTGTGGTATTTTGGGGTCTATATTGGGGTCTCCTTGTTTAGGGAAACTACCACTTATCTCGAAGGCTGCCTGTGCTTCACGACCGGCACATCGACAAACTGCTCAACCTCCTGCACGACTGGGACCTGCACCTGCTCGCGGGTCCATGATTAGCAATCCTCAGAGGTTCCAGGGGCTCGGGGCGGGGCCTTACGGTCTAGCCATATATTGGGATAATGTAGGGTAATATAGGGATTATGGAAAAGAAAATGCCAATATACTATAATATACAGATTTGCACGGTACCGTACTTCCCTGCAAGGGCGTACGCTGTGAAGGGTTTGGGATTTAGGGGCGAACATGTATCGACTAAAAAGTTCAACCCAGCGTCGAGGGTGATAAAGACAGCTCCCAGCGGCAACTAGAAGGGTTGAAATGAGACCAGATTCTATAACTGCTCTTACCATCACAGGTATGCAATACTAACAGTATTACTACTGCTATTATAACTGTGACTATTACTCTGGAGTAGGCTGTAAGGAGTTTTGCTTTAGCGGTTTGCACAAAACAGAGGAGCCTGCTTATGTAGATGCCCAAGGTCTATAATCCTTATGATGAGAACTCCCAAACAGGACCACTAATTTTTGGAAAGCCTCAAACCTGTAACATCGCGTAGATACTCTTACACCAAAAGCTTCGAAAGCTGCCATCCTTGCTAGTCCCCGCCCTAACAGTCGACCCCCTCCACCCTCCAACAATTGATATTTCCATTGTGCTATACTGCGATGGATCGGGAACATCTAATATTAGGGGCTGGGGAGGTTTTAATGGTTCCAATGCTACCGGAAGGTGATCACTCCAGAAGTGGTGGAAAGGTGATAACCCTGCTGTCATCCCTAAATGCTACAAGGTTTTTGGGTTTAGGACACCCTATAACCATCCTAGCCACCCAATGATTCTTCGCGGAAGCCCTACAGCGGCCTGATTGAATACCAACAACATGTTGAGGTCTATTTGCAGTACGATATACCATAATTGTACAAGGAACGCAGGACCAGAATGTTAGTATTGTTTTCGTCCCTATAGTACTGACTGTTTCTCTGGACGGCGAATTGGCGATTATGCTGGCTAAAACTGGTGTTCGAGTAGGACGGCTGTACTTAGAAACATTGCAAGCCGAGTTTGAGTGCTCATGGCCATACTCGTAGCTAACCACGAAACTCCCAGTACTGCTGATCAGGAGGAAACCCTCAATGACCTTGGCCTGAAGCCCCAGATATGCTTAGTGGTGGCTAGGAGGGGACGGCAAAGGAAATGCAAGCTACTGTACCCCAAATATAAGGGATTACAATAGTACCCCCCCCAAAGGAACCCCCCCAGGGTTTAAGGAGGTAATAAGGACTATATAGGGCTTGATAAGGCCTAATAGGGTTCTAAATCTGGGGGGGGGACCTTTGGGGGGGGTTACTATTGTAATTCCTAACAATAAGTTGGTACCTCTCGTCTTGGCACTGGTAACTGGGAATATAGGGATAATGGACAAGAAAATGGAAACTACAGGGATTATAGGGATTATATATGGGTTCTATAGGGATAATGGAAAATAGAATGGAAACTACTATAGTATATGGGGGTACAGGTTTTGGGTAAGTATCTGATTATTGGGTACTTGGACCCTTGAGGAATAGGGTCTAGGGGTTCTAGTCTAGGGATTAATCGGTCGGAACGAAGGACTGGAACATAGGGAATGTTACTGAAGATTGTATAACGACTATTACAGAGATTCATGCCTCCAGTGCCTACTAACCACCTGAAGGCATGGGTGTTTCCCAGAACATCCCTTACATACCTGTGCCCTGTCCATCATCCACCCTAAACCCTAAACCCTAAACTCTAAACCCCTATACGTCAAATGTAGCCGGCCTGCTTCTCCACCACCTTCTGGATGGGGACGTGCTGCACGATGACCTGTGACATGAGAAGCTTGGAAGGTGGATACCCGGGAATCAGAACCACAAAGATTGTGGTATTTTGGGGTCTATATTGGAGTCCTCGTGTTTATGGAGACTACCAAAGGTGTTGCAAAAATTCATGCCTCCAGGTTATATACTGGCTACACGTACTGGAGTGATTGGTTGACCGTACTGCAGTGGGATAGGCTCTGAAAAGGTATGGCACCACCACTCAGAAAAGGACTGATCCACTGAATTCTACATGAGTAGATCTTACCTTTAAACCTATAGTCCCCCTTAAGTAGATGGAATATGGAGTTGACCAAAAGTACACTAAGATCTCCATATACTATATACCCCATATTCTATCTACTTAAGGGGGACTCTACCCTCAACCCTGAACCCTAAATCCTAAATAGTAGTTTCCATGTTCTTTTCCATTATCCATATACAAACCCCATATTTTGTCTACTTAACCCCCAAATATGCCCTATTATAATATAGTAGGTGTACCCCTCATATTAGGGGGACTATATGTTTATGCCCAATACCCTGGGCCTTCGGACCTAGACTCTCACATGACCTGCAGGCTCTATCTAGGGTTGGGATCCTCATATACCTAATATATACCCTATATGTACCCTTAAGGGTCCCTAAAAGGCCTAAGGGCACATATGAAGGGCCCATACTAGGAAAGCTCTGAGCCCATCCAACTTCAGCTCTCGAGCCTTTTCGCCATCGCTTTCTACTTACTGTTTAGGGTTTAGACTAGGGTTTAGG